CACCAGTGCTTTGCTTGGGCTGTGCTGGGCACCTGGAACGAATTCTCCCTGCTACCCTCCATCCCTGATTCCTTGAATAAAATCCAGCCTTCCAATTTTACTCAAATGCTTCTACTCTCTCTGACCCCTGGAACTTTCCCATTACCAGCCTCCTTCCAGCATCTGTCCCCTCATTCCTACCCCCTGCTTACCTCCCCACAAAAGCCAAAAATTGACCCCTAGAGCCCAAGACTCAGGGTGGAGGATCTTCATGGCTGGGGCCACACCCAGGCCAGCCCGCCCTTCAGACTCTGCCAGTCACAGTGGGGTGGGCGCTGGAGGTGGAAGAGGAAACAGAGCCTCTGCCAGAGTCACCACCTGCCCCCAACCTGCTTCTCCTCTGAAGGCCCAGCAAGGTCCTGTGTGCCCTCCAAGGGCAGAGGAGGCTGCTGGCTGTGCCTGTGGGAGGTGGCCTGGAGCACTGTGCTCGGGGCAAAGCTGGCCCTGTGGAGTTTGAGTTTGCCATTCCAGCCTTTGTTTACTCCTTTGTACCTTGAGCACCATCAACTGGGTGCCAGGCCTGTGCCTGTATTTGGCAGGGTGGTGGGAGCCAAACAAATAGTAGAGAAGCCTCAGGTCTTTGGGGTGTTGCCCTTCCACGACATGGCCCCAGACTGAGCTCTCTGCCATTTTGCAGAGCTCTTCCCTTCCACTTGCTCTTAAGGAGGGGCCAGAGAAGCTGCCTTTACCCCATGAGCTCTGAACCCTCTCCTATCTGGCTGTCCCCTCATCCTCTCACCACCCACTCCCACTCCCGAGGGGAGCCTCCAGCCCAGCTTAAGAACCCTGCCCATAGCTGCACTGATGCCCTTGGCTTTGCTATAGGGAATGAACACAGCCAATCCACACTCTGGGACAGCCAGCTTGTGTCCAGCCCTGGGTGCAGAGGGGCCAGTTTAGGGAAGGACATCAGGACCTTGCCTGTGCACCTGGCTCAGTGTCCCCAGAGATTTGGTGGGCTAAGGGTGGGCAGGAGAATACAACTCACAGCCAAAAGGAAGGTGCTTCAGTTCCCTACTTCTCACTTCCTCTTACCCTGGCTGCACCAGGGCCATGCCCCTAATGGAAGCTTCACTTTCCTGCTTATCTAGTCTCAGATGTTACCGTTTTTGTTGTTATGTATTATACGGAGAGACGCCCTAACTGGCTCTTGCTGCTGCACGGGCGGGCTGTCAATTTATATGGGTTTATCTTACAACTTTACACCTTTTCGGTTTCTCTTACAAGATTTGCTGTTTGTTGCTTCTCTTGGTTTTTCTACACTGACATTTTACCACTGAAAGTAATGACAAATTTGTCTTTTCCTTTCTAATACTGATGGCTCTTTTTTATTTTCCTTGTTTAATAGCTTGGCTGAGACCTTCAATACAATACTGAAAAACAGTAACCACTAGAGCATTTGCATATTGTTTCTCACTTGGGTGCCTCTGGCCCCTCCCTGTCGAGTGCACTTGCTATTGATTTTGGGTAGATGGCCCTTTTCTACTTAAAAACGGTTCAGTCTAGTTCTAGCTGACTCTGATTTTTGTTTATTTTAGAGGCTTTTGTTGTTGTTGTTGTTAGAATCTTTCATTCATGCAACAGACCTTCAGTGAGCTGATTGCCAGGACTACGTGGTACGAAAGAAAAATTGACATGGTCGCTACTCATAAGGAGTTCATGGCCTGTTGGAGGACAGAGGCAGGCAAATAGATCCTTATCCTTAGGCCATGGGGCATGCATTCAATCGCCATCTGCTGGCACTGTGTTGGGCAGCAGGGATGGGCACTATTCAGGCAGGCCCCCATCGCAGTCTGGTGGGGTCCAAGCAGCTCACATTCCCTCTCACTCAAGTTCCCACAAAGTAGTTGCAATGCTGAGCTGAGGTTTTTTCTGCTGCAGACGCCAGGTGGGTACGTAACCAAAAGTGCCTGAGAGTTAATCCCCTGGAGCAACCTGAAACCAAGGAAGAGGGAGAGTCGGTAGACACGTGCCCAGCTCCCTCCTCCCTTGGGTGGGACAACCGTGGCTTGTGTTTGCTGCCAGCTCTCAACTGAAGACTGAGCCTCAGTTGCCTGCAGAAGGAACCCACTCAACCCACCTACCTCCTTTGGCTTCATTTCCTTCCCTGTCTCACCCCCTCTCCCATTTTATATCAAGAACTGTGAAGGCTGAGATTTTATCCAACTTTCAGGCAAACAAGGTAGTCTATCATATCTCAAGAATCATGGCAGAAGGCACAGAACTCCTGGTTCAGAAACAGAGAACAGATTATTGTTTACAGTAACAGCAGTAGACAGGGTAAAAGCATTTTCTGGCACCACTTCCCTGAACCCCAGTTCCCACAGAGTGATGTGATGATGGCCCGGCAATGCCTGCGAATGCATTGGATTGCATACAGTGGAGAACCCTGAATTTAGGGGACCACATCTTTTATAATAATCTGCAAGCAAACCTGCCCAGCTGGGAGATGTTATTTTTAGGAATATGGGACAATAAACAAATCTGCCTTTTGCCCTTTAGCTACCAAGGGTACTCACTATAATAATCACCCCTGTAAAGATTGTTTAGAACAAGGGCAACCAGTGCCTCTACTGGCAAGTATACAGAAATAGGAGAGAACCATGGAGAATTGTCTGTCTATACCCTAATGGTGCTTCTTGGCATCACCTCCCACATAATCTGTTTGCATTTGGATGTTTGTCTCAGAGTCTGTTTCTGCGGAGAAACTCAAGATAGAGAGACAACACTACATGGGCATCAGTGTATTTCTGGAGTGACTCTCTTTCCTCTGGACCTGTCCTGCAAATAACGCAGGGGAGCCATGCAAAGGAAGAGGTTTCCTCACCTAGGATCAATACTGCTGGGACTCCAGGACATGTGCTCTAAAGGACTCTTAGAATTTCATTTTTAATGTTTAATATTTGGTCCACTTGGTCTGTTACCACTCTCTTCTTCTCTTTTTTTTCAGACAAAGTCTCACTCTGTCACCAGACTGGAGTGCAGTGGTGTGATCTTGGCTCACTGCAACCTCCAACTCCCTGGTTCAAGCGATTCTCCTGCCTCAGCCTCCCAAGTAGCTGGGATTACAGACATGGGCCACCACAACCTGCTAATATTTGTATTTTTTTTTTTAAAGTAGAGACAGGGTTTCACCATGTTAGTCAGGATGTTCTTGATCTCCTGACCTTGTGATCCACTCACCTCTGTCTCCCAAAGTGCTAATTACAGGCGTGAGCCACAGCGCCCGGCCCACCACTCTCTTCTAATCTGCCTGTGACCTGTTCCTTAGAGTATGTCACAAACATACAAGTGACCAGTTTCCAATAAATTGATTAAAGAATTCATGTGCATTCCCATCACTGTGATTTGACAGTGCTGGTACAGTGTGAGACAAACCCGAACACCCACTCTGTGATGACACCGTTCAGGTTCCAGGGCAACGCAGGGAGGTGCTTCGGCTGACTGCAGAGCGAACACTACTTCAGCCTTCACAGAGAATTTGACTGTGAGTAGCGAAGATTTCTTTTCTTCTCTGTCTTTTTGAGAAGAGTTTTGCTCTGTCAGGCAGGAGTGTAATGGCGCAATCACGGCTCAGTGCAGCCTCAAAATCCGGGGTTCAAGTGATCCTCTGACCTCAGCCTCCCAAGTAGCTGAACTACAGATAGGCACTGCCCTGATTGGCTGATTAAAAAAAATTTTTTGTAGAGAAAGGGTCTCACTGTCTTGTCCAGGTTGGTCTCAAATTCATGGACTCAAGTAATCCTCCCACTTTGGCCTCCCAAAGTGCTGGGATTGCAAGTGTGAGCCACTGCACTCTGCTAAGATTTCTTTTTACAAAAACATTTAGCAATATTTAATAACAATTTCAAAAAGTTAAGTAAAATTTTAGCTTAAAATCTTCTTAATTTAAATTGCAATATGATTATAACATAGTTTGTCTATTTTGCCTCAATTTTATTAGGTGATTTGGATTACTTAAATAACTTTTCAGGCCGGGTGTGGTGGCTAACATCTGTAATCCCAGCACTTCGGGAGGCTGAAGTGGGTGGATTGCTTGAGCTCAGAAGTTCAACACCAGCCTGAGCAATGTGGCGAAACCCTGTCTCTATAAAAATTACAAAAGTTAGCCAGGTGTAGTGAAGGGTGCCCATAGTCCCGGGTACTCCAGGGGGCTACAGTGGGAGAATCACCTAAGCCTGGGGAAGGTCGAGGCTGCAGTGAGTCATGACTATGCCACTGTACTCTAGCCTGGGAGACAGAGTGAAACCCTGTTTTTTTTTTTTTTTTTTTTTGAGATGGAGTCTCACTCTGTCCCCCAGGCTGGAGTACAGTGACGTGATCTTGGCTCACTGCAACCTCTGCCTCCTGGGTTCAAGCTCTTCTTCTGCCTCTGCCTCCCAAGCAGCTGGGACTACGGAAACATGCCACCACGCTCAGCCAATTTTTGTATTTTTTTAGTAGAGATGGTGTTTTGCCATGTTGGTCAGGCTGGTTTTGAACTCCTGATCTCTGGTGATCCACCTGCCTTGGCTTCCCAAGTGCTGGGGTTACAGCCATGAGCCACCACGCCCAGCCCTTGAGACCCTGTTTAAAATAATAATAATAATAATAACTTTTTAGGCCAGGCACAGTGGCCACTCCTGTAATCCCAGCACTTTGGGAGGTTGAGGTGGGAGGAGAACATCCCACGGAGCAGACACTGGGCAGTGGGCCTAGGCTGTCAGCAGGAGTGGGTGGCCACACTGGGGTGGGAGGCAGGAGGTCGGTGAAGTTTGAGGTGTCAGTGAGCTATGATTAAACCACTGCACTCCAGTCTGGGTGACAGAGCAAGACCCCCCAAAAATAACTAAAATTAAGGGCAGTTCACGTCTGAAGTCCCAGGGCTTTGGGAGGCCAAGGTGGGAGAATCCCTTGAGCCCAGGAGTTTGAGACTAGCCTGGGAAACATGGCAAAACTCCATCTGTACAAAAAATACAAAAAATTAGCGGAGTGTGGTGGCACACACATGTTGTCCCAGCTACTTGGGAGGCTAAGGTGGGAGGAACCAGGCAAGCCTCTATTCTCACTTAGACCTCAGGTCACTGAACACCTGGACATAAGTGATAATCATTACATTTCATCATTTTGGGTATATGCTGACTTTTAGACATAAAAAAACCCCCATAGATTTATGGATGTTTTACTGCTATGAAAGCTTATTTGTTCAGTGGGAGGATAGAACACATTTTATTGGCAGCTTGATTTATGGTGGTTTAATATTTAGATTCTGGTCTGTGGACCTCCATTTGTTCTTTTGCCCAGAGCACTGCAAACATCAAGGCCTATGCTCCAGGTGTGCCCACAGGTACTTCTTGCTGTAAGAGAGACCAGAGAAAGAGCTCTCCTAGGACTCATGTCTCCATGGGCTCATGGTAAAGCGGGAGCTGGAGGGGTGAGGTAAGATGCAGGGGAAGATGCTGGGGAGAAACGAAAATCAGCAAGTCTGCACATTTTCTCCTTTCGACGATTTCATAAGGCAAGTGATAACATTGTCCCCAAAACAGAGGGGGAGGCCAGGCTCTGTGGCTCACACCTGTAATCCCAGTGCTTTGAGAGGCCAAGGCAGGAGAATCGCTTGAGCCCAGTTCAGACCACCCTGGGCAACACGGTGAAACTAGATCTGTACAAAAAATTAGTGGAGTGTGGTGGCACGCACCTGTAGTCCCAGATACCTGGGAGACTGAGGTAGGAGGATCGCTTGAGCTCGGGAGGTAGAAGCTGCAATGAGCCAAGATTGTGCCACTGGACTCCAGCCTGGGCAACAGGGTGAGACCTTGTCTCAAAACAAAATAAAACAGCTCTCTCGGCCTTAGCGCCATTTTTTTTTGGAAACCTCTGCGCCATGGGAGCCAAGTGGAGGAAGAAACGAATGCGCAGGCTGAAGCGCAAAAGAAGAAAGATGAGGCAGAGGTCCAAGTAAACCACTAGCTTGTTGCACCGTGGAGGCCACAGGAGCAGAAACATGGAATGCCAGACGCTGGGGATGCTGGTGCAAGTTGTGGGACTGCATGCTACTGTCTAGAGCTTGTCTCAATGGATCTAGAACTTCAATGCCATCTGATCGCCGATCACCTCTGAGACCCACCTTGCTCATAACCAAAACTGCCCATGTTGGTCCTTTGCCCTGGACATTAGTGACATTAGTGACATTCTGGACTATTTCTGTGTTTACTTGTGGCCGAGTGTAACAACAAAATAAATCACCTCTTCTGCTGTCTTAGCTGAAGAATTAAAAATAAATAAATAAATAAATAAAATAAAATAAAACAGAAAAACAAAAACAGAATAGGAAACTGAGGCTCAGAGAAGGTTCATGACTTGCTCAAGTCATGGCACAGGATACCTAGCTGTAGAACCAACTGTAGCAGGACACTGGTGTCCCCTGCAAACCCATAGCTCATTCTACTCAGGTCAGGTGGGCCCCAAGTCAGCTTTATTCACACCAGGCTCTTTACAGCCATGGCCAGCCTGACCTGGGTGCAGGCACCAGGGCCTTTAAGTGACAGAGAATGCAGCATTCCCACCCACTGCCAGCTGCCCCAGGTAGCCTCTGAGAACTGCCTCTCCAAAGTACAAGCACAGCAATGACCTGTGTCCCTGGGCTGCCCCCACTGCCCTCCTACAGGGGTGGGAGGACCTCTCTGCCATAGCCCCACCTCACAGCTGCCACCCACACACTGGGTCCTAGCCCTCCTGAACCCCAGCATCGACCCCACCTTCTCTGTGACATGGGAGTGGGTGGGTAGGAGGTTTGGAGCTCTGCTCAGTGAGGGCCAAGGAGTGACCTGAGGGTGGGAGGAGAAAGGTAAGTTCTTGCCGACACCCCTGTCCCGCCTTCGCCAGGGGAGTTCCCCATTCTGAGGGTAAATGGGTCATGAGTGGCTAAAAGGTTGTCCTAGTGCCTCCCAGCTGCGCCCACCCTGATCAGCTCACTCAGCACCCTCAGCCAGACTTCCAGGCCCCTGCTCTGACAATGCTGCCCCTGGAATCCTATGATAAGAACACTCATGGTCATTCCCTTGAAATGTGGCCAGACCTCAACCCAGTCCCAGACAGGTGTCAGTGCCCACCCACTGCAGCCTCTACTCTGCATTCTCCAGGCGGACAAACCAAACCTCCAAAAGGGCAGATGCATGTCATGGGTAGCCTGATGCCGAAGCTGGGGCCTGGGGCCCCTGCTGTGGGACAGGGAACTGTGGGCAAGACAAGGCTGACCTGAAGGAGTGACTAGAGCCAGAGGCAAAGGGGGCTCAGTGAGCAGGGCCTGGCACTGCTGACCCCACCTTGCTTCCCCTCCTACTCTCCGTTGGTTCTTCACACCCCCAGCTGCCCACTGGCCCAGGCAGGACACTCCCGTCTAACCTCCTGCTTTCACTCTGGGCCCACACCCACACACTGCCTCCACAGGTACACATGCCTTTTTTTCTCTACTAACACCTGTTTCTGGTCATCCACTCTGTGCTAGGCTGGACACTGGGTACTTCAGAGCTCATGCTAGACCTAACACTGGGATGGAGGAGTCTAAGGAGGCCCCTGCAGTCAGGGAGGGCTTCCTCGAGGCAGAGACCCAAGCTAAGGGCTCAGCACCCTCTCCCCCAACTTACCCCAGGTCACTGGCTGTCCTCTGAGCCTCACTCTCTGGAAGGGCCAGCAGGTTCCAGGAAGCATCCCCTCACCCTGCAGTCCTGGTTCCAAGAACTGCAGCTTTTGGCAGCATTTGCTCAGATCCTTTCCTAGAACTCAGGGCCTGCTCTGCCCAGACTGCTGGGGTCTCAGAGGGCAGCCAGTGGGGGTAGTGGGGAACGGGGTGCTCTGGGGGTTCCTCCTTAGGGAGAACATCCCACAGAGCAGACACTGGGTGGTGGGCCTAGGCTGTCAGCAGGAGTGGGTGGCCACACTGGGGTGGGAGACAGGAGGTCAGTGAAATACAGGCACTTTGACTACCAGTCAGCCATGGGCTGCGGGCCCATGAGTTCTGCCTGCACATAGAGGAGGCCCACTCCCTAGGTCCAGAGCTTGCGCCAGCTTGCCACACTCCACCCTCCAACTTCCCACTCCCCCCACTAGCCTGGCATCAGGGTCCCATCCCATAGGGAATCAGCACAGGCCTTACCCTCAGAGTAGGCCCTCATCAGATAACCTCCAGAGGACAGGCCAGGGTGCAGGACAGGCAGCAAGGTCTGAGCACAGAAGCGGAATGGGGTCGTCAGTCTTGGGGGACTTGGAAAGCCGTGACACTTGTGTTATTAATCCTGTCATAATTTTACCTTGTCTGGTTAGAACTGAATGAACCACCCCACCTCACACACCCTCAGCGAGTTGGGTCAGGTGAATGGGGGACAGGCCCTGATAAGTGGTCAAGGACAGGGCCCAACTTCCCTCAAAGTCACCGGGCTTCCCCCTAGGGCGTGTCCTCCACCCGCCACCTCTGAGCTGGCACCAGGCCTGCCCAGCCTCCTGGGACCTGCCAGATCACGTTGAGCAACCGGTTCCTGAGAAGCGTTGAAGGCAGTGTGGTTTAAAATTAACTCCCCCGCTCCCCCTCCCGCCTGCGGCCTCCTCTGAGTTCTTGGAAGAGGCGCTCTGCTCTTCCTGGGAAGAGGCCTCCAGCCGCAGCTGCTGCAATTCTGGCGAAAACACCTCACCCAGGCTGGGGGTGGAGGGTGCCCACGCCAGGCCTTCTCTGCCCTCCTCAAGGCCCAGGGATCCTCTGGATCTAGCACCCACTCCGATTACTCACTGAGACCCAGAAGAGAAAGGGGATGATTGTCAAGGTACCGGGAGTGGGTGTTCCTGCCCCCAAAGTCCACAGCTCCCAAGCAGGCACCTCTGGGTAGGAGAGGGAGTGAACTGATCCCACAGCAGCAAACCCAGAACCCTGGCCTACTCTGTGCCATATATGTCCTGGAGGGAAGCAACAACCAGCCCAGGGCCACCCAGCTTCGCCTGCCCTTATAAGCTCAGCCTGCCCACTAGGTGCCAGGCTGATGGTGCTGACCTGGCAAGGATGCCTGGGAGCACACCCCCACAGGCACTCACACGCCAGGGTTAACAGTGCTTCTGCCAGGGAGTCCCCTCCTTGTCTTTCACCCACACCCCTCAGACTACCCTTGGAACACCTCTCCTTCTGGATAAGCCTCATTTTCTCTTGTCTCATGGGCTCCATGTCTCTGGGGATTTGGAGGAAATGTTTCCTGAGAACCTACTCCCCCAGCAGCTCCTCCTCCCATGGCCATCCTCTTGAAGGAGCTGAGAAAAACAAAGGAATGTTGGCCAAGTGGAAAGGTCAATGCATGTGCACGCCACATACACACACAGACACACACACAGACAGACAGACACACACACACACACACAGACACACACACAGACAGACACACACACACACACACACACACACACACACGAGTGATGTCTCTGACGTGGGGCTGGCAGGGGTGGGAGCAGTGAAATGCTTCCTGGGAGGAGGCTGAGGGCTGAGAGGCGTTTTGAAGAACAGAGCTTTGGCCCAGTCTGGACTATGAGTGCAACCCCCACTCTGGTGGAGGAGCCCAGCTCCAGTGACAAGAAGGGCCGCATCTGGCTCATGGGTTCTTGGTGTGAAGAGAGTCCCTGGAGCAGGACTCTGCCCTGAGGAGCATTTTCTGGACACCAGCCCCCGAGGCATGCCATCAGGGCATCATTGGTGCCAGCATAAGCATCTCACTATTAGGGTTTGTGTGGGTGAGACAGTGCTGGAGGTTGCCTGGAGGAGTCATGGCAGTCCTAGGTTCCCGCAGCCCTCAGAGGCTACGTCTGGCACTTGGCCCTGCCTGCTCCAACCAGGCCTGGGTCATGGAAGCAACTGTCTTTCCACTGAACAGGAAGCTTTGGCCATATCACAAGGCTCCCTGCCCTGGGCCTGCTATGTCTCCTCCTGCTCAGAGATGAGCATCAGTTTCCATTTACTCCCCATTCCCCAGCATCCAGGCCCAGCCACTCTCCAACCACCCTGAGGTTTGCATTATGGTCAAAATTAAACCTCCAGGGACCTCCGCTATCTTGAGTCTCAGACATGGGAACTCCAGCCTCCTGCCCCAGAGTGACTCTTGGAGTGACCAGTTGGGTGGCCCACGTGAGCCAGGGAGGGGTAGGGAGGACACATCCACCATGAGAGGCTGTTGAATTTCTGGCAAAGCTCAAGCCTACTTCATATTAAAACTGGTTTAGCAGGTTGGTGTCAATGGCTGCCCAGGCTTGCCCAGGGTCTACTTCTGGAGGAAGAGGGCCTTTATGAGAGCTCGGGAAGTCTGGGATGTCCTGTGCACAGACCCTGAGTCTTCCTGCCTTCTTCGCCAGGCCTCTAGGCCTTTAGGCCCCCGGCCCCTCACCCTTCCACTTCACTGTGGGCAACCGTGCAGGGTGGGAGGGTCCCCACCTGAGAGTGAGGTGTGCCTAGTCATGGGCCCCAGCCCTACTCAGACGTGTGTCCAGCCTTGGCCAGGAGAGATTTACTCAGTCAGTGGATTAAAAGTCCAGCCTAGGTGCAGGGACTAGAGAGATGTATACGCTGGCACCAATGATACCCCAGTGGCGTGGCTGGAAGGGAGAGTGGTATCCAGCAAACAGTCTTTGGGGGCAACAAGAAATACATGGATGGCTTAGTAGCATCTCTGTCCCAAGGGCGTTCCAGAGGAAGACCTGTGAATCCAGGGAGGGACACCACACAGGATCAATCTCCATCTCACCTAGAGGCAGAATCCTCTAGGGCCCAGACCCCAGACCCCCTCCTCCAGAAAGCCCTCCTGAATCTCCCCATCTTTCTGCATGCCGTCTGAACCTGTGAGTGCCTAGGCTTTAGCAAGCCAGCCCCTTGGAGCCAGAATAGAGCAGTGGTTACACAAACAAGGTCTGGAATCAGGATGTGAACGCTGGCTGAGCTTTCTCTCTTCAGCTGTAGATGGGGACAACCTCTGCTAGTGGGGCAGGAACCCCACCCAGAGTCACAAAGTTGCTGCCCTCACCTCCTTCTGCCCCTGCTCCCACACTCTACCCTCCAGATCCCATACTTCTCAACCTTCTTTCTGGCCTCCTGCCTCCAGGCCCTCATGCGTACAGATACCTCCCTTAGAAATGAGGATCAGATCCCAGCACTCCCCTGCTAAGCTCTGAAGGGGTGCTTTGTCATCCTTGAATAAAATCCACGTGCTTCCTTCGCCCTTCCCACCCCTCCTGGGCAGCTCCTCTGAGCTCTAGGTTTCTGCCTCAGGGACATTGCACCTGTAGTTCCCTTCACCTGGGACATCCCTTCTGCAAGTTGTCTGCATGGCCAGCTCCTGCTTTTGCCTGGTCTCCAGGCTCAGTGCCACCCAAAGTTGCAGAGCTATCCCCAACACCCCCTGCCCCTGGCTGCAGGGTGTCCTTGTACCCAAAGCTACTCTCCCCACCCCACACTCCCCCCTTTTCTTTCTTTACACTCTCAAAGCTTGTCCTATGTACTCATTTGTTCACCAGTCCACTGTCTCTCTCTCCCTCCCAATAGCCCATGAGCCCCATGAGGGTGAGGACCATGTCCGTCTTGTTCCCTGCTGTCCCCAGGACCTAGATGGAGTCTGGCCCAGTTGAAGTCTTTGGAGCACATGTGCTGGTGATGGACTTAATGATAAAGCGTGACCTTAGTTACTGTTTGTCTGTTGTGCAGGGTCCTTGCACCCACCAGAAGGCTCATCCCTTTGTCCCTGGCTAGCATCAGCATGTACACTCCTTTTACTAGGCCAGGACCATCCGGCAGTGATCGTGTTGGCCAGAGGACCTTCAGTATCTATTAGGCTGAATCTCTAATTGGGGTCTGGGCAGGTGTCATTCACTACCCTGGTAGGGAAACATGAAAAGAAGTTTGAACCTGGAACATGTTGGGAGTCAGAAGTAGCTGGCAGCCCCTCCCCAGACAGGAGCTGGGCCCTGGCTTGAGCTGAGGCCAGGGTGAAGAGGACAGGACCTTGGTGGCCGCCAAGAGCTCTCAGCAGGCAGGGAGACCAGGAGATAGAAAATGGCGTCCAAGAGCACCTTGCCTGAAGCTGCCATCCCTGTCCTCCCCACCTCATGTAGCAACCCAGGGGACTAACGGGCAGTCAGGACCACCCAGGACCCCCCTCTGCTCTGAGCCCCACTTGTTGAGTGGCCTCAGTCAGCCCCTTGCCCCCTCCGAGCCTCGGTTTCCTCATCTGCAGAGTGTGGGTAATATTTCGACTTCACTCCCAAAGTTGTGGTGAGTGCTGCATGAGGTACAGGCCCTCGCCCCATGCCTAGCACCTGGCAGGCGCCTTGAGACGTTTCCCTCGCAGACAAAGCAGAGTTCTCTGTGCTTCCTCTCGACAGAGCAGCTTTCCGTCTAGGCTGTGGCATCAGGTAGGGAAGAACTTGGCACTGGCCCCTCTGTGTCCACTACTCGTCTGCTAGGTGACTCAGATTTAGGGGTGGAGCAGACAGAGGGGTTACCTCAGGCATTCTGGAAGCCATGAAGCAGCTGAAATCCAGACTGAAGGAATGAGGAACTGCAAATACCCCTGGCTGGGTCATGGTGACCTGGAGGAGGCGTGCCGTCTGGCCCTACCGACAGCCAAGGGCCCAGGCTGCTGCCAGCAACAGGGAAGGCACATGGCTGACCTCCTGGGCCTGGGTGCCACATCCAGGAAAGACAGCCCTCCCTCCGTCACCCACCTCTTGCTCACTCTCACCCAACATCATGCCTATTCTTTGCCATGACTGCCTCCGTGTCCCCATGGTCCCGTGTGAACTCCATGGTTCTTGCTGTCTATCCTCCTCCTCACTCCTCCCTGTCATCAGCCTGTCACTCCTCATTCTTGCTCTCAACCTGCCAGGATGTATCTCTTCTACTCTAAGACTTCTAATTGTTTGAGGGCTAAGACAACAGGAAGATTAGGATTGTTTCCAGAATAAAGGTTAGAAAGCTATGAACAAAGTTTAGAGAGGTTTTCCTGTGGGGCCCTTTAGCAAAGGTACAGGAAATTTCAGGATACAAGGAGATCTCAGCAGCTAGTGTTCCCAAGTCAGGCTGTCCAGTAATGGTGTTTTCATTTTAATTGCTCTTCCACACACTTCTGGTGTGCTGAACCCTGAGAGAGAAGGGATCCCCCAATCCCATCCAGCCTGGACCAGAACCCGGACACCCCGGCCCCTCACTGGCTCCTACCCCGATTCAATTACCCTGCCCCACTGCACAGAACAAGCCCTCCTCAGGTCACTGTCAGGAATGTGCCCCTCCCAGTCATGCCTCGGTGCCTTCGCACCACTGCGCCTTCTTCCTGGGAGAACTGGCCCTGACTTCTCTGACTACTGGTTTTCTCATCTCAAAAATCACTGACCTCAGGAGTGGTCCACAGCTGTCTCCCCGCTAGGTATTCTCCACTTGTGATTTGGAGTTGGCATTTCTTGTTTACACATCTCTCAGGGCTGGTGCACCTCTGCCACCCTCCCCCCAGGTCCCACCTGGCAGTGCTCTGGACAGTCACCCTGCAGGCAGTCCAACTGGCCTTCACCCCCTAGCTCCCATTTTCCAAGGGGACAGATGAGAAGATAGAGGCTGCCCCCTGTCTCCTTCACTCCTCAGTGAGTCCCCAGCATGGACTGCTCAGCCACATAGGATTTCTGGGCCTCTCCACTTGCCCAGATATCAAATGGAGAATAAAGATAACAAGATCAAAGGGGACACATTGTGTACACAACTCAAAAGAGGCCCTAATGAGGGCTCCATACATGAAAGGTATTATTTTATTATAGAGGTAATAAAATAAAGAGGTAATAAAGGTATAATGTCATTACAGAAAAATCAGTGGAAGAGAAAAGACCACCAAACTGTTCTTTGTTAGAATTATTACTTCATGAAGTCTTATCAGATGTGTATTTCTTTCTTTCTCTCGTGTGCAGACACCTTCTTGGGCAGGAAGCAGACCCAGCAGAGCTGCAGTGGTGGCCCTCAAACCAGCAACCCCTCTTCCTGACAGCACAGGCACTCTTCTGGGGCCTGCGCCATAATGAGACCAGCTCTATGCAGATACAGCTCTGTCCTGTGAGGGGGTGAGACAGGCTCTGCTGGGGACTGAGGCTTCGGCTGCATTTTCTTATCTACTGTAGTTGTCCATCCTCCCCAAATAGGGCTGGTGGGGAGAAGAGAGTGGACACATTCACAGATGGGTGGGTCAGTGCCAGGACATCCAGGATTGCCTTGGTTTTAGCAACTTGTCTCAGGGCTTTCCAAGGGAAGAACCAGAGAAGCCAGGGCAGAGTTGAGGTCTCTGGACTACCAGGGCTCAGGGCACAGAGGTGGGGTTGGCTCACCCCTGACACCAACCTCAAGGGGAATAAATAAATAAATAGTGGATACTTGTGCAGTCCCCTAGCCTGGCTTAACCCTCAACAAGGGGATTGTCACTGTTGACCTCAGTTCTTCTGCCTGTCAAACTCCCAGAAACAGAGGCTGGCTGCAGGTAGGGGTGCTATCTGACCCTGGGGATTGAGAAACCAGGGCTGAGAGTGCCCATACAGTTCAGATGGCCAGGGCAGGCAAGTGAGTGGGGGCCTGGGCGCAGCCCACAGGTGAGACAAGGTCCTGCCTGTCTCCCCCTCCTCTGACACATGGCTCAGTGTAATGAAGCCACATGGGACCTGGGGGTATTCACCTCCAAGTTGTGTGACACCTCCCCTCTCCCAAGCCTTGCTCTTGCTGGCTCTTTCTGGGCCAGTTGCCAGAGGTATGCAGGCACCAGGATGCCTGAAGGAGGGACAGTGGGAGCCCAAGTCCAGCTGGGGCTGGTGTCCCCTCCAGGGTGCAACTGGGTGAGGCTGGGCAGAGTGCCCGGCCCAGTCAGAGCTGGAAGGGGTACTGTCGGAGGTAGTCAGCCATGCGCCGGGGCAGTGGCAGGCAGTCCACATCGGCCACCAGACGGTTGATGACAAGGCGGCACAGGTGCTGCAGGCTGCGGGCACTGCTTCTTCGCACAAAGGGCTGCACCAGTTTTAGGTGTACAGCAGTGGCTGCTGGAGGAGTAGGCAGTGCTGGGTCACTAGGCGCATCTTCTTTAGGCATAGGCAGGGCCGGGGTGGGAGCAGGATCGGGGCTGTCGCTTCGGGTGTCAGCAGTGCAGGAGGCCACATAATGCTGCACAAGGCTGACCACATCTGGGAAGGCCAGGATGCGTGGCCTGGACAAGCAGTTGGAATCCAGACGGAAGCTGGAGTTGGCATACTCAATGCGCACATTGGTGGGGCCACGAGTGGTTTTCACTGACAGCGTGAACAGGTAGCTGGGGTGGGTGCTGTCACGTACCAGGAACGTGCCCTCTGGCATCTTCTGCAGGTGTTGCCGGGCCTCGCTGGCCGTAATGGAACCCCAATACCAACCTAGGCAGGTGCAGAGGGGGCCAAGGGACATGTGGAAATTAGCTGGGGGCACCAATCCAGGGCAAGTCAAGGCAGTCCCTCCTGCTTTACACTTCCCTGGAGAGGGCTATGCCTCTCCCATCAGACTCTCCTGGGCAGGGCCATGCCTCCCAAATCAGACTCAATGGCAGAAATAAGCTTCTCCCATCAGACTACCCAGGAAAAGGCCTGCCTCCCCCCTCAGACTCACCAGATTCCCGAAGGTAGGAGAAGGTCTTGGCTATGCACAGCAGATCCTCCTCGGGGTCCAGTGCCTTTGGCTCACTCTCTGTCTGAGCTCGGGTCTCCTCTGCCACCTCCTCCAGAAAGGCCCCAGCAGGCAAGGGCTGCATGACTGGCTCGGGCAGTTCCAGGAACTGGGCCCACAGGGGCCGCTGCCCAGTCTGCTCCACAGCCAGCAAAGGATGAGGTCTAGAAGGCAGTGGATGAGCAGTGAGTGGAGGACCCGTGCTTCCCCCATCTCCAGAGCCTCCCCACCCATGCCCCAGACTAGCTACATGACCTCTGGCTGGCCCATCTCACTATGAGCCTCAGTTTCCCTTCTATCCAGCCATAGGATCAATTAGTCCAGTATCTCATTCCCCACTTGTCATCACGAAAGCCCCCTTGATTGTTTCCACATGTGAGTCCTCTTTTGAAAGATTCTTCTCTACTCCCCTGCATTTACTAAACAGTAATTAATCGCTGTCTATTTCGTATCAGCCAAAAGCACAGATCATTCCCTATAAGCATTTTTAGTGTTCTCACCACACTGATAGAATCCAGTGCAAAGTAGCTTCATGTTTGTGCCCTCCTCGCTGAGGTGGGCTGATTAAATGGCCCACTGATTGAACGGTCCTAGTTGAGTGCAGGATAGATCTGTGTGGAGTCCTCCAGAGAAGTCCCAGGGTTATGGTAGGCTGCCTGAGGTCACACGCTACCTCCCCATGGATAGGAGTGTCTCTCAGAGGGACCTAGGCCCACACTAGCCAGGACTTAGAGACTGAAATAATCCCCTACCCATACAAGTCAGCCTATCCTGGCCTCTGCTCCTCCCAATGGAGGGTCTGGGGTGAACAGTGGCCTCTGAAGGCACTGGCAAGTCTCACCTCCTGTCAATATGAGCTCCCACAAAAGGGCAGGGTACTTAACCCACACTCCAGATCCCACTCTGACAAGCCAGTCCTACCAGGCTCTATGACTTTGTACAAAGCTTGCTTGTCACTGGGCTTCAGTTTCTCTTTCCCACATAAGGGGTCCCACCAATCCATACACTGAGAGGTTCAGTAACATCATATTCTTGGATGGCTGGGGTTGGGACAACTGAGCTGACCAAAATCTGAGTAGTAGCTTCCTCCTTGGGGAAGCCCACCCAGCATGGCAATACTAGGGCTTCCCCCTTGGGAGAGCAGCAGGGACTGGCTCTACTTCCCCAGGAAGAGACTGCTGCTCCTCTCTCACTCCTTACAAAATACATCTGTAGGCCTCAGTTTTAGGTCTAGTCCCTGGCTGGGCCTCAGGACATGGAGCTAATGAAACCATGGCCTTGCCCTCAAGGAGAACCAGACTAGCTGGGGAAGATGGCCCTAAGAGTAATTATAATGCAGAGTCATAAAAGTGCAGGTGTCACGGGATAGTCAGGATCTGCTTGCTCCTGAGCTGAGTCTGCCAGGCCAAAGGAAGGAGCTGGGGGAAGGGACCCCAGGCAGAGAGGACAGCATGGCAAACAGTGCCAGTATTGCTTGTGAGGCAAGGAGGGGTAGGCAGGAACCAGTGGCAGGAGCCAGAGCTGACTCCTTTGTAGGTTACAGGTGACCCTCTAGGTTTTAACAAACCATGGCCCTATGACCACTCAAAGGGAGAAAGGGCCACATAACTCTGGCACACCACAGCCTGCCAAAAACTTTTCCACACCTACTCTGCCTGTACTGTGGGAGCCCAGAAATCCCTCTTGGAGAGCTGGAGGCCAAATTTTGAGATGATCTGCCTGCTGGGGCCCAGAGCTACCTTCCCAGCAGCATGGTTGGTACCTAGAAAGTCAGGCTAGAACTTCTGCAGGTGGCCACTTCCAGATAGCTTAGCCAGTCCTCCAACACATCTCACATGTGGGTGTGTGAACAGCTGTGTTGATCACCACAAGCTGCTGGTGAGTGACTGTGTACCTGGGCAGGGTGTGTCCATGGCTGTGGTATTGTCATGGTGGGGACAGTGGCTGGTATGTTCTAGGTACATGTGTGTGCCTGCTTTGGAGCCCAGCAGTCTGTTAAAAGCTTTGTTCCCCAACATCCAACACTGGCCCTGAGCTTACAAGGGGGCCCTCAGCTAGGGTAAAAAAGTGAAAGAGGCTAGGGTAAAAAGTGAAAGAGACCCCAGAATGTAGGGGAAGGCTCCTGGGGAGGAAGGCAGTGGTGGCGTAGGTGTTCGGGAGTCCCAGAATGCAGGCAGGAGGAAGGAACTTGCTGGAGACAGCAAGGGAGAAGTAGTCTTCCCAGCACCTCTGTGTTCTCTTCCCTGGCCTCACCTTCCACCCTCCCTCACTTGGCACCAGGCCAGTTGTGATAAGCACAGCCACTGGGCCACCCAGTTCTCCCTGAGAGCAGAACACCCATTTATATCTCCTTCCTCTCTTCTTGGAGCTTCCTGAGCTCCTGTCAGATCACTGTGGCCAGCATCAGACCATTTTGGTTGAAGGGATTGCTGAGGTTCAGAACAGAGTGGATGGCCAAGAATGCTCAGCCAAGGTCGAGACTCTGGCTTATCGACATATCCACTGTCCCCCACCTCAAGTCTGGGAAATTTGAAGATGAGAGGCAGGAGCCAAGGTCCTTCTCACATTGGGATCCCAGACTGGGCTGAGACAGGGTTGTGAGACGATTGCAGGGGTACCCCAGACAGGACCAGGCTAAACCCAGGGCCTCTCAAGAGCTGCTGACCTTCAGGTGCCAGCCTGAGGTGAGGCAAGGATCTCAGGCGGGCTTCCCAAGAAGAGACTACTTGCTAGCCTAGGGCAGGAGAGGGGACACCAGGACAGAGCGGGCCAGGGGCTGGTCCAAGGTCACCAGTAGGCAGGGCGGCCGGCAGGCTAGCATAGAATGCTCTGAGCCCAGAAGAAGATCTGGGACTGTTGGCCACATCTTGGGAGACCCCTGCCGTTGGCGTCCAACTGCTCCAGTGAGAACCCAGGCTAAGTCCACCCTGTGAGTTCCTCCTGTAGCCAGCCAGCCCCCGGCTTCCCAGTCCACAGTGGGAATTGAGGCGAGTGTGTGTGTGGGGGGAGTTTCACAGTTCCACACAGAGCCTCGCTCCGGAGGCCCTTCTGCACTCAGTCACCTCTGGCCCGTCAAGCCCTCCCAATACCCAGCAGCTAGCATGAGGCCCCTGTTCTCCCGTGCGCCCCGCGTGGTGGCCAGGAGGGGGCAGAGAGTTGCGCTTACCCCTGAACGCAGAGGACCATGTCCCCGCGGCAGCGGCGACTCCGGAGTGGGGACTCGGCTGGACGGCGGCAGCGGGAGGGAGCCACTGGGCGCGGAGCGCGTCCAGGGTAGGCTCCTGGGGCGCGCGGGCGCAGGGCAGGGACTGAGAAGCAGAGGCGCGGACCGCCTGCGAGGGCGAGGGGGGCGGGCCGGACGAGCGGGCGGGGCGAGCTGCCGCCTAATCCTTTGTCTGCTGCGTCCCAGCCCTTCCGGGAAGCGGCGTCTTCCTAGAACCGCGGGCTAACCAGTGGGGCTCGGGCGGGGTGCGCGGGCGCCGTCGCGGGGTCTGGGGCCCTGGGCAGCGAAAGGAAATACTTTGACAGATTTCCAAGAACTTTCCAGGAAAACGGGGCGGGGCCCGGAGAGCCGACCAATCGCGACGCTGAGGGTGGAGCCGAGTGGCCGGGAAGGGCCAATAGCAGCGCGTAGACCCGGGACTGACGCTACCCAGCGGGGCAGGTCTGAGAGATCAGCAGGGAAGAGAAGTTAAGTAGCCGCCGGGGCTAGGCAACCCGCTCCCAGATTGCCTTCTGGCATTCTGCGTCGTTGGGGAAGGGCCCCCTTATCTCGCCTTGGAACCCGTGGCAGGGCGGGGGCGGAGTCCCTGGCTTGTCCTCCCTGCTAACCGCTCCCCCAAGGAAGTCTGTCAGCGTGTGCAAGTGCCCCGTGTTGGGACGGCCGCTCCTGGACCCTAGGACTCTCTGTGACGGGTGTCGGATTGGGTGGCATGGGCGAGGTCTGGAGCGGGACTTGGGGCAGGGCGGGGTGCAGAGGACGGCTCCTGAAATGAGTAGGTCCACTCTCATTTCTGAGGATCAAGCCGGCGGCCACCACAACCAGAACGATCCAGACAAGAACGTTTTCGTTGAAAGAGTTGAAGGAGAAAGCACATCCCAACTTTTCGAATCAGGCAGACATCCAGTATTGGCTGGCACTGGTTTCTGGCCGGCCCTGCCAGTCAGGGGAGAAGAGACTACAGATTTGAGGAAGCAAGCATAGACAGCCCCAGATGACCCGGACTCTGGGTTGGTGGACTTCCCCCCACCTCCCCGCAACCACCACACACAAAATGCTGAAGAGAGAGTCCTGTAGCTCAAAACATCCAGCGATAATCTGGGAGTAGGGTGATAGAGGTTGGGCCGGGTGGTGAGGGCATCAGAGTAACACTCCCTCTTATCTACAGGGAGAACTTGATGCATTTGGTCCTCTACAACTGGTGTTACTCCCTTTACGAAGAAGGAAGACAGAGGCCCAGGGAACAAATGCTAGGAAATGACAGGGTAAGAGCTTGATCCCAGCTCTGAATCAGAAGCCCACACTCCTACCAGGACTCTCTCCACCCTTTTTCAGTTCACTGGATTCACTATGGAGCATCTTGAAGGACTATAGGGTCTATGTGAATCTTCTCCAAACCCTTGGGCCAGAAGAACTGTGGGACTGGGAGAGGTCGCAGGGTCTACTACCCCACCCCTACCCCCCTCCCAGTGTGTGCCCCGGAGGTGCCCAGAAAGAAGGCTAGCTTTGAGATCCTGGGCAGGGATGACAGGCCCCTGGTGGTGTTGAAGGGCCTGAACGATAGCATCCAGGGCAGACAGGGCTAACCTTACTCTGCCCAGAATGGCAGAGGGCAAAGAGATCTGAAAGCAAAACCCTGTGAAACTGGGGAAAAAATGGTTAAGTTTCAGACTTCAGGGCAGCCACTTCTCTGTAGCTTTCCTGAAGGGAAGTGGGGCTTCATGAATGTAACCCTGACAGCCCCCTCCTGAGTTGGTCAGAAGCTAGTTTCTTGGAATGAGGGTAGAGGGGATGGATACTTCATAACCCACTTTGAGGGTTGGGATAGCTGGAGAGCCTGGTATGGGGCCCCTGTATGGACCACTATCTTGCCAGTAGGAACTGTCCACTGTCTCATTACTATGAAGACAAAAGGACTTGCAGGTGCCATGCAACGGAGTTAAAATTTTGAACCTAGGTCTCTTATGGGACCAAATCGCAAGGTCTCTACCAAAACTATACTTCTTTCCCCTCACCATGACTATTCAACTGAACACTTACTATGTGCCAAGCACTCTCAGCAATTTGCAGCCTCATGTCATTGTCACAACTATCACATATTATCTCCTCTTTACAAGTAAGGAAACTAAGGCATGAAGTGGTTACAATATACCCTAGGTCTCCCATCTGGCAAGTAATGGTTGAAGCCAAGAGCCTACACACTTCCTCTTAATCTCTCTATGGGTGCTGGTGATCTACCAACTCCTAGACAGCCAGCTGTAAGGTCCTCAGTGAAGTTTCTCTGCCCCAGGCCAGTAAATGTCAGAGCACGATGGGAGTCCCTTTGAAAGCATCCCCTACAGAGGTCAGTGATTATGTGGTCTATGTGTAAACCAAAGGGTCCCAAGGGTGTTGGCCTTCCAACTATTTTTTGTGTGTGTGTGAATATGACAGCACTGTGCACCTCATCTGCATGCCGGGAACAGTGATGTGCCCCTGTTCTGCCCCAAGTGCCTGCCTCAGGCACTGTGGGTCTCTCTGGCCATCTTAGTACTTAATTCTGCCCTGGCTGCTCCCCAGAAGCCCCCATTCTGATTGCTGGGCCCACACTGCCACCTAGTGGTGCCCTCTCTCATGCCCTCACTAGCCAAATCTCCTTAGATTCTTTCAGGATAATCCCTCCCCTGCATCCCAGGGATTGACCTTACTGCAAGATTCCCCTGCTCCTCCCTCCCAGAACAATCAGCAGATGCATCACAAGAATACACAGCAGTGCCTTCCCCAAAGTCTGGCTCATTGGGCCTCCATACTCTCACCATGCACAGCCTCCCCTCTCCAGGAAGGGAGAGAGAGAGAGAAAGTTTTTTAGCCCTGACTCTCACTTTAAGCTATTTCAAAGTCTCTGTCCCCTTGGATACACAGCTATATGAAGGGCTGTGTGGCAGAGTCTGCCACCATAAACCCACTCCTGACCAGGTCCAGCCATCCCACATACTGAATCCTTCCATCAGTGTGGAGAGGATGTGGCAGGTGGATGCTAGAACATGACCACTAAGGGAAAACCACATATTCTGACTTTCCTGGGCTAAGTGAGTAGTTGCAAGGCATCTCTCTGATGGACCCACGTGGCGGACATGTGTGCCTGTGGAAGCATGGACATTGGTTATAGGGACTGGGAGGGGAGAAGCAGCACCTTTGTTTACTTTTCATACTTCTGTATAATTTGAATTAATTACAATGAACAAGTCTTACTTATGCAACTTAAAATTTTAATAAAAAGAGATCAGCTTAAAAAATACAATTATAAAATTTTTAAAGCAATTGTAATCTAAATCCATTTTAAATAAAGAAGACATCTTCACAGAATATTCAGTGAGATGCCTTTGGCTGGGGCAAGGAGCCAGCCTCCACCCTCAGCTGCCTAGCCTTTTGCTCATCTGGAATGACATCTTGCTCAGCCTCAGGTTCACCAGGCTCAAACCAGTTGCCTTTAGAGAGCAGAGCCTTCGTCAGCTCCCCAGCAGTAGAAGCTTCCAGACAGGCTTTCTCCAAGGCTCTGAGATCTTGAATTAGATTCTCAGGTTGGGCTCAGGGGCATTAATCCTGAGTCCAGCTGGGCATAAATGCACATGTGTGTGCACATGTGCACGTGTATCTGTGTATATGTGTATTATATGCATGTGTGTTTATGCATATACATACCTATGTGTGAGCATGTGTGTGTGCACATGTGTAAAGGTGTGAGTGCATGTGTGCATGTCTGAGAGTATGTTTGTATATGTGGCTGTGTGAGAAGCCAGGAAGGACCAGGAGAGGAGGTCATGGTTTGAGGATAAGAGCCCAGCCCTGAAGTTGTGCTTTGGAGTTGGAATGGGAGTTCTGTCATGACAGCTGCTGACCTCAGGTTACTTAACCTCTCTGGGCTTTTCTGCCCTGTGTGTCTGTAGTGTGGGCCAGAAGGGATAGTGTGACCTCCTCCAGTCTCTGTAAGGTCAGGGGGTTCCAGAGAGAGTACTTACCCAGCATCTGGTCTGTTCACTATGGTCAGCTGAGGCTATTATCTGGAGCCTCCTGCTTCACTGAACACTGCTAGCTTGAAGATAGCCTGGAAAGAATAGGGGCAGAGCCCCATCCCCCATCCCCACTGAACATCTGCACACAGTGGGTACCCACCAATAAGTTGTAGCGCCCTTTCACTCACTCGTTCATTTACAGAACGATCACCTCTCCAAGAGCTCCTGCTCTGATGAGTTTGGACATGCAGCCCAGGCGTCTGTGAGTGTGCGTTTGTTAACGAGTGGGGTTGAGGGGAGGCACTCACTGGGTCCAAGTTCCAGAGCAAGGAGTAGGATGTCTGGGAGACGCCTGAGTGGGACAGAGGTCGTGGTACCTGCAGTCCTGTAGATGGCCTGTAGATGACAGCAGAGGCCCATGCAGAGCCCCTGCCCTGAGCGGCACCTTCCCAGTCCCAAGTGAGCCAGCTCGCTCATGTCTCTCAGCTTCGGGTTGGGGGAGCGATGTGCCCGAGTAGTTCAGATCTGTCCCAGGAGACAGCCACCCTCCCTATGGCTCTAGACAAGTTGTTTTCTCCCCAGGGGCCCCAGTTTCCTCATCTGTGAAATGAGAGTTGTTTAACAACCTGTGTTGGGAAAACTGGCTCAAATACGTAAGGCAGTCTAAGATGGGCTTGATAAAGTAGAGATTTAAATGTACAAGGCAAAACTACAAAGCTAATGGGTAATGTCTGCCACTCTGATGGGAGGCAGAGACTTTTTAAACACGACGCCAAAGGCCTAAACCATAAGGTAAAAAGTTTGGCGGATCTGACCAAATGGCAGCTCGGGATTTCTGGTCCCCAGGACGCCGTATATACCACACGGACGCATGAGCGGGAGCTGCACAAAAGAGGGCAGTCGCCAGTGCTAGAGAGACTCCCAGAGCCACCAGAGGCTAGAGAGTGGCGAATTCAACAACGACGAGATGCCACTTCCCTGCTAGTACAGGGGTCTCCCTTGGTGTCCCTGGAAACCAAGGAAGTTACCGGTTTCCAGGGACACCAAGAAACCGGTGTCCCTGTTTCTTCCAGGTTCCCCTCGGGAAGCCACGCCTCCGATTTTGTTCCGGCTCGGGGGCGGGACCCAGTCGGGTCCCGCCTGGCTCTTTAAGGCGGACCTAGCGGGGCCCCAAGTTGGGATGACGCGCGGGGAGGGAGGGGTGGAGTGGGGGGGAGGGGGAGGTCACGTGGGCGCCGGCAGCGCGACTCTCCGCCCTGGGCACTCCACGGCAGCCAGCTCCCGCGACCGCCGCCCCTGCCCCTCGGTGGTGCCTCAGCAAGGTGGGCTGCCGCCAGGTAAGCCCTCGCCAGGTACGCCTTCCCCGGCCGCCTCTGCGACCTCCTACGGGGTCCTCACGGCCATTAGGCGCTCGGCCCCTTCCTTTCTTGACACGTGTCGGGGCGGTACTCGCTTGTATCCCGCCGCGCGACCACCGCCCCCTGCTGCACGTCTGTTCTCTCAGGCGTTCGTCCCGCACTCCCAGCTTGCCCCGGGCAGGCAGCCCAGCCTGGTTCAGAGGCTCCAAGGCTGGGGTGTGTTGGAAAAGTCTGGGCGGGACTCACTCTTCCCCTTTCCCCCAGGTGCCACTAGAAGCACCAGGCTGGGGCCGCCTCTGAGCGCCCCGCGGGGGCCATGGATGGTGAAACAGCAGAGGAGCAGGAGGGCCCTGTGCCCCCACCAGTTGCACCCGGCGGACCCGGCTTGGGCGGTGCTCCGGGGGCGCGGAGGGAGCCCAAGAAGTACGCAGTGACAGACGACTACAAGTTGTCCAAGCAGGTGCTGGGCCTTGGTGTGAACGGCAAGGTGCTGGAGTGCTTCCATCGGCGCACTGGGCAGAAGTGTGCTCTGAAGGTCAGTGAGCCCTCACTGAGGCCTGGGGTGTCCTGAAGGGTCCACTCCTGACTCTGGGGTTCTGGCTGGACTCGTGTTCAGGCCTAAAGGAGGTCACTTTAGCGTTCAGCTTGGCTGCCGCTTCCATGTGAAACTTCTCTGACTGGAATGGATCTGTTTCCCTTTGCCGGAAGCTGAGACCCCACCAAGGCTTGGGGTGGGGCTGCTTCTTCCCTGTGGCCCCTGCCTGTCTGGGCTGGAGTGGTATGAGCCTCCCAGGGCTGGCCAGAGGACAAGGCTGATGCCCATTGCACCTGTGGAGCCTATGAGTCGCTGGTCCTATGTTGAAAGGGAAAAACCCTGCTCCGACCCATCCCTGGTTCCTGGGCAGAGGGTGGGCCACCCATCTAACCACCTCAGCCTATAGGCTCCCTGGAGACCTGGCACGCTGATATAGGTGGCATAGTGGGTGTGGTGGGGATGCTACGGGTGGGTACCTGGTTCTGGCTTAAGGCATACAGTTCTGGACCTAGGGCCACAACCCATACCCAGAATCCCTTGAATCTGTCATCTCTGGGGTCTTTACTCATCTGTAGCTTGTGCCAATGGCCACCTAGATAGGTAGAGCATGGCAGGGATAGTGGCTCCTGGAGGCTAAAAGTACAGCAAAGGCTCTTCTCATTTTACAAAAATTTAAATTATGAGTCCAAGTGCAGAGTCCTGTAGATATGGCTAATAGGTATCCTGTTTGCCAGTTTCATGACCTTGGATAATATTCTAGACTCTTGAAGCTAGGCTTCTACGTCTAATCATGGGGAAAGATAAGGAGTTGTTGTGAACTTGAAATGAGATTATCCATGTAAAGCACTTGGTACGGGACCTGATACCTGTATGGGTCTGGAGAGGTTACAGGATTTATTTAAGGCACATGATCTTAAAGCATCTGAGCAGGGACCTGGGCCCAGCTCTCTGTGTCTTTCCCAGGACCACTAGTGCCAACAGAGGAGGTTGTGTCCTGAGAGTGGCCTTGGAGGGGATCATGCAGGTGGGTCCAGGAGAGGATCAAGGTTGGACTGGTGGGGCTGGGCCCCAGGTATATCTTCTTTGCCCACTAACCCAGCAGTCGAATGGGGTGGGGGAGCTTTCCAGAGTCTCAGGAATGGGGTTCTCTGAGTCTTTTAGGGAAAAAGTGGCTTTTCTGAGGGCAGGTGGGCATAAGGGGATGAGGAATGAGAGTTTTCATCCTCCTCTGGGCACCATTTAGCCCTTCCACCTGTGTTAGGATTGAGGGCAGTCTGGGTGAGTGAAGCCAGAGAACCACTTCTCGATACCAAGGCTTTGGCCCATGGGCCAAGACTGAGCTCTGACCGGTCCCTGTGGTGTCTAGATGCTGTGGGTGAGTCAGGGATCGGGTGGGAGGCCAGAATTTGTGGCTTCATACAGTGCCAGCTTTCAGTAAGTGTATACTTAACCCCTTCCCCATAGATGCTTTGTCTGATGAGTGACTTGGGGGAACTTCTGACTGCAAGAACTTTCACAGCACCTCATCAGTGGTCTCCTTGTTCTGGACTGGAAATTGGGTCAGGCCTGGAGTGGATTTCCCTCTGTATCCCTTTATGGGTGAGCATGGCTGGGGCTACTAGCTTGGGACCTTCAGGATCTGGCTCTAAATTGGCCCTCAAAGGGGACATGGATTAGATGGGCTCCCACTCCAGGACGTTCCTGTTCTTAGTATCCCTAGTGACCAAGCCTAGAAGTCCCTACCCTGCTAAGTAGATATTTACTACCTCCCAATATTGGGCTAGCACAACCTCTGTTACAGACATTTTACCTGTCCTGTGAGTGGTAGCTGTGGCCATGAGGAAGGAGGTGGCACCTCCCCACTTATAGCTTCTGCCCCTTGCCCAGGAGGGCCAGGACCTAGGGACCTCAGTACATGGGCAGGCCTGGGCCTAGGGAGCTTAGCCAGCTCATGATGGGTCACAGACCTCTCCTTGCATCTTCCTAGCCTTCTCCCTGCAGCTGCCCCAGCTCAGCCTAGGCAATAGTCATGGGCTCTGTGTCTTTCTGCCTCCCTGGTTATCAGGTTATTAGGCTGGCCTTTCCTCATCTTAAAACCTGAACTTGTTCAGGCCATCTCTGCCCTTTTGTCTCATGCTCATCCTCTTGGCTCTGTTGCCCAAGATGGCAGATAGTGCTTAACAGGAAGCCTGAAACACAGCAAGCACTCATACAACAGGAAGAGCTGTGGCCACTGTCCCTGTAACTGTTGCTATTCTGTGGAGGCCCTAGATGAGCAGCTCCCTCCCTCCCAGGGAGCTGGGCCTCTTTCGCTTTCCCTTAGCCCCTGACCACCTGCTTGGTTCCTCTTGGCCTCAGTCATACTCAGTGGCTCCCTCCCAAGACCACCTTCTGCTGCCAGTGCAGCCATTCTACTCCATTCTATCCCAAGCACTCATTGCTGTCCTCTTGGCAGGAACTGGAGGACTGCCTTTCTTGGAGAGGGTGCATGGGTCAGGCAGTCCTTCGGTTTCTGTTCCTCCTGCTGACCTCTTTCTTGTGCCATCTCCCAGGCTTAACTAGTTAATTAGTACCCTTCAGCTTTACCTCTAACTGGGTACAGCCCTGCAGGTTTGTCACACATCAGTTACCCCACCACATCCAAGACCCAGCCCTCAAACTTTATCACATATGTGAAAATTGGGACCCAAAGTAAGTCACAGGGCTTGAAGTGGGGGGTGTAGCAGAAGCCAGAATTTTCTCCCTTCCTCACTTCCTGCCCAGCCCTCTTGTGGTTTTGGCCTCTTAGCAGGCAGAAGTGACCATGACACTTATAATCTCTAAATAAAAGCAATAGGCTGGATGTGATGGCTCGTGCCTGTAGCCCCAGCACTTTGGGAGGCTGAGGCAGGAGGATCACTTGAATCCAGGAGTTTAAGACCAGTCCTGGCAACATAGTAAGACCTCCATGTCTATATAAAATTTAAAAATTAGGACTGGGTACGGTGGCTTATGCCTGTAATCCCAGCACTTTGGGAGGCCAAGGGGGAGAGCAATTACTTAAGGTCTAGAGTTCGAGACCAGCCTGGCCAACATGGCGAAACCCCATCTTTACTAAAAATACGAAAATTAGCTGGATGCAGTGGTGGGTGCCTGTAATCTCAGCTACTGAGAGGAGGCTGAGGCAGGAGAATCTCTTGAACCTGGGAGGTGGAAGTTGCAGTGAGCTGAGATCATGCCACTGCACTCCAGCCTGGGCGACAGAGTAAGACTCTGTCTCAAAAATAAATAAATAAATAAATAAAAATAAAAATAAATTAGCCAGATGTGATGGCACATGCCTGTAGTCCCAGCTGCTCAGGAGGCTGAGGTGGGAAGATTGCTTGAGCCTAGGAGTTTGAGGCTGCAGTGAGCTCTGGTCATACCACTGCACTCCAGCCTGGGTGACAGAGTGAGACCCTATCTCAAAAAGAAAGAAAGAAAGAAAGAAAGAAAACTAATAAAAGGCCTTATGGAGACATAATGGGGTCTGCAGGTAGGGTCTTCTTTCCTGCCCCTGTGTTCTAGACTGTGGGGCTGGGAGCCCTTCCCCTCCGACCCCTAAAGCATGTTGGAACCTCCTCTGGACTCCCAGTGCTCTCTTCGTCCCTTGTTTGTTAAGGAAAGTGGAATGGTAGGGTGGTGGATCCACATATCCAGGAGATCCCTGCAGAGTCCTCTGGGTCAAGTCTTTGTAGCAAGCATCTTCCTTCTGGTTCCCAGGATCTGGGGAGGTTGCTGGGGCTGCCGTCGTCTCTGGGGCAGTTTCCTTCCCCTTGATGCCAGATGGCTGCCGGGACCCAGGCTGCTCTGCATGTGGTATCTCAGTGATGCCTCAAAGCACAACACAGAAGAGGGCATATTTCTCCTGAAAGATGGGAAAGTAAACTCTGGAGACCCTGAGGAGAGGATCTCACAGGGATCTGAGGTTACACAGGGATTTGGCTGTATAGTTCTGAGCCTCTAATTGTGGCATTCGAAGCCTCTGCAGTCTAGCCCACCTCCCTTTTCTACCTTAGGTGACATCTTTCCTTCTCCAGCACTGAGGAATTTCTTCCCATCTGTCAAGACTCAGCCCCAGTGTCACCTCTTCTAGGAAGCTGCCCAGAGTTCCTGGCTTTGGGGCAATGGAATCTTTTTTGACTCCTAAAGCCATAATACCCCCCTTTGACTCAAATCTCCCTTACAGTACCTGGGCCCAAAACCTGGCATATATCAGGGGCTCATGAATGCTTATGAAAATAACCAGGCTTTGACCTCTCTGAGCTTTGGAAGGAGCATCAAGAGCTGGACTTTTTCTAGGTTGCTCTTTCTCCACAGGAGAGGGGTTCTTTGATTCCAGCTCAGAGATAAGCCACAGAGAAATGCTATTTCTCCTCTTCTAAGGTCTGGGAATTCACAGTGGAATCTAACAGTTCCACTGCCCCAACAGACCTCTTGGGGAATTCCTGGGAGAAAGGAAATGCCCATTCATGAGACCATTTCTGCCCTCTGCCTGCTGTCCAGGCTGCACCTCTGAGTAGACAGAGGGACTCTGTATAACCAGAATACCAAAAGGAAGATAGAACGTAATGGATGCAGAAACTGGGAAGCAGTGGATCCAGAGCCCAGTACCCTGGATGCCTCACCCTCCCTAGGGGGATGGTGCCCACTGCTCCATGGGTGAGGCTGGCCTGTTGGGGCTGGTGCTGTCGAGCTGGATTTGAAGCGGGGTGAAGCTGCCAGGCAGGCCAGGCCCTTTTTCATTTGGCAGCCACCAACCCCTCACCTACCATCTCCAGACTGGTCAGATCAGCCTTCGCAGGGCCACTTGTTAGAGGCAACAAATCAGGAGGCACCTGGTGGGACTGGCAGCCCCGTATAACAGAGTCCCTGGAAATAGTTTCACTGCCCCCTGGGTTCTCCCAACACTGCTCCTCACCTGGAAGAAAAGAGGAGCTGGAGTTAACTGCCAGGGATGGGCAATTTGCTTTTTCGTGGGGATCCTGAGGAGGGCATCAAACCCTACAAAATGCAAATAGTGGAATTTTAGGCAGAGGTTGATTGTTCTGACTTGCTTCATACTGTGCCTGGCTGACCTTGCTTCCTGTTTCCGAAGCTGTGCTCCCAGCCTTCTCTCAGGATCACCTCTGCTGGGGCTTCTAGGATCTTTTCCCATCCTATCTAGGAGCTGATGTCAGCTCTCCAGGCTTCAGGCCTTGGTGCTGTGGATCCTGATACCCACATAAATGGCTAACAGTTTTTCAGAGCATTGTGCCTGGCAGGCCCTGTCCACAGTGCACAATGATGCACAGCATGAGTTATCTAACTCTTATCATTCCTATTATATGGATGAGGTTCAGAGGTCAACAACTTGCCCAAAGTGCACAACTAGTGGGAAGGAGGGCTGTGATGCGAGCCTAGGCAGTTTGATGCCAGAGTCCTAGCAGCTAAGTCATCTCTCTCCTCATGCAAGTCTGTGGGGACATGGGAGGGTCTCTGAGACTTGACCCTTGGAAGAATGTTGGCATTGTCCTCTCTGGCTCCACTGGGAGCCCTGGCAGCCCCAGCTGGGCCCTGAGTGATGCTGCCAGTGTCTGCCTATATCTGCCCAGTTCTCATCACTGTATGGAACTCTATGCCAGTGATTGGACAGGTGGCAGTCCCATGAGGCCAGCACACAAGGACCATGATGTCTGCAGAGGCCACCTCAGAAAGGTTGTGTGCCTTTTCCCAGGCCTTGTGAGTCTCAGACAAGCGTAGCCAAGCAAAGCCCAGAGCACTGTGGGCAGGAAGTCAGACTGGTGAGTGGGCGAGTGGAAACTATCTGGGCTGGGCCAGCTAGGAGAGGCTTCCTGGAAGCGGTTGCCAGTTTAATCCAGATCTCTGGTTTGAGAAGGATGTGAATGACAGACGAAGGCAGAGGGTGTGTGTGTGTGTGTGTGTGTGTCTGTGTGTGTGTCTGTGTGTGTGTTTAGACACCCAGCTCGAAGGCAGAGGGTGTGTGTGTGTGTGTGTGTGTCTGTGTGTCAGTGTGTGTCTATGTATATCTGTGTGTGTGTTTAGACACCCAGCTCGCAGACCTGTGTTCTGGCAGGATGCGGTTGATCTCAGTAGGGCCAGTGTCAAAGTCCTGACAAAGCCTGGGAAGCTGAGGAAGGACCGGAAGAATCTGTAAAGGAAGAGGCATTTATGTAGGGCCTTGAAGGGTAGAGCACTATTGCTGAGGGTGCTGCAGGGACTTTTGGGTTACCTGGGCTGTTGTTCAGACTGTATGGGAAGGACCCAATTTTCATTACAACAAGTCCGTTATATCTCTTCTGAGCTTCACATTTGAGGGAGTGGAGTTAGATTCCTCATCTTCCTCTACTGGGGACATCATCATGAGAGACCCCTGCGTGAGGCAGTGGTTGGAACATCTGGCTCTGTAAGCCCCCAACCTCCCTTGGCTCCAGGTTGCCATGTCTAATGGTGAAGTTCCAGACAAGAGCTGAGGACCTCCTTAGGTGAGAGGGGCATTCCAAGCATAGCTGTGCTGTGAGAGTACACACTGAGCACTTCCTGGAGAGCTGGCTCTGCTGCTCGCAGGACAGTGAGACCAT